CATGGCACGATTGAAGATGTCGATCAAAAATAAAAATATTATTAGTTTAATTCATCTATTTCATCTATCACATTCTCTGGAATCCTTTTATGTGACTTATATTTTTTTACAATATATTCGGCCTGTAGTACTGTTAATCCTTTTCTGTAACAATCCTTAAATCTTGAGGCTCTCACCACATACTTTCTAATTTTGTTTCAGTGATATAGAATCAAAAGCATTGGGGACATTCTCTTGAGGACTTTTCCATGTGTAATTAAAATGTTGCCTAACATATCATTTAGCAGCCCCCAAATACATTTCAATATAGTTCAGCTCACAGTGAAACTTTGGATAGAAGATGACTTTATGTTCTTTCTTCAATTAATTCTTGAAGTAAGGGTTTTTGGTTTTTAAAATCATCTTGGGTTGCTAAGATATGTCTAGCACAACAAGTCAAAGCTCCTTCAAGAGAAACTTCAAACAAAAAACTTGAATGTGATTATTTTATATTCATAAATTCAATGCAATTATTATTATAAAAAAACGCGTGAAATTTTTTAAGATTTTTTGTTTAATTTTATGGATGAATTATATCGCATGATTTACCAGAATTAAAAAAAATATTTTTATGTGTGACTTGAGGTGGGCCAAAATTACATGTTTTCAAATTTGGAAAATTTTATATAACATATAAAAATTACATGATTTTCAAAAGCTTATAACTCCTGAACCAATAATTATTTTTTAATTGTCTTGACAATAGATTGTGAAACTAGTCAAAAGCTAACAAATATCGTCTCAATTAATTTTTTGATAAGCACACAATATTTTCTTTTTTAGGCTTTAAAGTTGGACAATTTTTATTTGATGGGTTATTGTGGCATGTACTATACTGATAAAGAAAATTCAATAGAAAAAATCAATTTATTATTGTTATTAATTTTGAGGAGGTAGTTGTGGGCCATCATATTGCATGGATTGTTGTATGGATGAATTTGTTACTAATGGGTATTTTATTACTGAACCTCATGATATTATATTATTACCATCATTATCATTATAAATTTCTTGATTTGTTGTAGACATATTGGTGTGTGTTTGATTTATTGGAGTATTATTTAAATCTGGATTACTTTTCTCTAATCCTGGTTGTAAATTTGGATCCATAGTATTAGAAAGTTATTGTAAATTTGAAGTTGGAGGAGGTGATTGATTAGCATAATTTCCCAACATTAATTGTCGCTGTAGTAAATGCTGTTGTAATGTTCGAAGTTGTTGTGGCTGCTGCTGTTGTTGCAATAATTGTAATTGCTGTTGTTGAGCCAAATCAGGTGGACTATTTTGAGAAGAAGAAGAAGAAGGGGGAGGAGAAGGAGGAGAAGGAGAAGATATCATTTGTATGCTATGAGCTGATGATGAAGCATCCTTAATTGATGATAATTCTTGTGCATTCTTTTTTTGTCTATTCCTATGATATAAAAGGAAAATACCAATTGATGCAGCAATAATCAAAGCAAAACCAACTGAAACCACAGTTGCTAGAATTGTTGTAGGACTAAGTGCTGTTGTTGATGATGTTTTACTGCTAGGAGACAGACCAGGAAATGATTTTACCCATTTGTAATCAACTATATTAAGTATTTGAATTGAATTACTTGCTTTAAGAAGTGGCCCAAACTTATTTGTTATATTACCTAAGATACATAAATGATTTAATATATACACATACATCATTATTTTATAATTAATTTATTTATTCACCAAATGTTACCACCATATAATCTCCAATTAAGTCTGCTTGATGGTGTGTAACTGAGTTGATAGGAGCCTCTGGTGTTGTTACTGGAGGTGTGATCCATTTAAAAGGTTTTATAGTTGTGTCTAATACAGCTAATTCAGGAGTAGGTGTTAGTTCTAATGCAGGTGTGCATCCCCCATAGACTATTATTTGACCATTAGCAGCTAAGAAATAAATATATAAAATGAAAGATTTTTTTAAATGATGATAAGAAACAAACAAATAATAATTATTATTATTTACCATATACAGCTGTATGTCCAATGCGGGAATTAATATCTAGACCACCAACTGTAGTCTGATCAATACAAAAAAATGATTAAGATTTTCCAATTAAAATAAATTTCTCATATTAAATTAATAATTACCATTAAATCCCAAGTGTCAGTTTTAGTATCATATAATGTAAGCTTTTTTTAAATAAATAATAAATTAATATTAAATTAATAACTACACATTTTTTATTAATTATTATAGTTATTATTTATTACCTTATTCATGGGAACTGCAGTTATAGAAGCCTTAGGAGTAATAGAGTATTCTCTTCCACCAATAAAAACAATTACTCCATTAGCAATTAATACAGCAGCATGGTCAATTCTAGAAGGTGGGATGTTTGGACCAGTTTTTCCAATTTGACTCCAGGATAAATTATTTCCATCCAGAATAAAAAAGTTGTTAAAATAAATGTTAGTAGGAACACTCAGATCATATAGTCCGCCATGAATATATAATTTGCCAGTCAATGGATCACTAACACTTGCAAATTCTCTACGTGTTTCAGGTGCCACTCCTTGAAAAGCAGGTGAGTTTACTAACCATTGGTTGCTTTTAAAATCATGGGTGTAAACCACACTTTTCAAATTATAATCACCAGTTACAGTATTATTCATAACACCACCAAATAAAAATATTGTATCATTATTTGTGTTGGAACTAGCTTTAGCCCATGATATTGATACTGGCAATGGTGAAGTTGTAGTTAAGTCCTTCCATGGTGGAGTTGTTGCATCAAATGGTTGTGACAAATCAAGAGAAAAAAATTCTCTTGATGGTAGACCATTAGAGAAACCACCCATAACATATAAATTATTGTTAACCACAACGGTGGCATGTACATATCTTGGATCGGCTGGAGTTGAATTTACTAAAAATAAGCATTTGAGCAATATTAAAAATATTAAAAAATTTTTTTTAAATGTCATTATTTTTAATTGGGTTGATTGATTCAACTACAAAGAGTTAAAGAAAAAAGACCGCATTTTTTATTGACTGTTATTATATTCAAATATCAATTCATTTGATTTTTTTATTTTAATTCATATTGCACAGTACACGTCCAAATAAAAATAAACGAATCGTTAATTTGACACCACATATTTATGTTGATGAAAATCCAACAAATTTAGTCTTTGTTTTGCTTACTCAAAATAAATATTTGAATAACAAGATTTTAGCAGAGGATGCGCAGTGAGCTTTTTTGAACTTTATTAATAATATGTGTAATACAAAAAAAAATCTGTGATTCTCATATTTAATATATATATTAATTAATTAATTGGCCAAGACCTCTTTGGTTTACATTTTTCAATCTTGCATACTCCTGAATTACAGATTGATCAGTTTTTATATTAGAAAAGTCAAAATCTAAGATTCTAAGTGAATCCCAAGAAGGCACTCTGCTCATGGCTACATATACTTGACCAGGTGCGAACATATTTTCATCGATGCTGACAGTTGCATGAGGTAATGTTAATCCCTGGGTTTTGTGCACAGTAAGAGCGAAGGCATTTTGCAGAGGAAATTGTTGTCTTGATGCAGGGCTTTCATTGATATCAAAGTAATATTTTAGTGTATAACAATCAATTCGATTGTTGATTTAAATTAAATTCTAATTAAAAATTGTCAAAAATAAATTTCTTTCTTTACGTTAAAGGTAATTTGTAGCATTTTCTCTCATAATATTTTAATTTATATTAAAATGGTATAGAAAATTTAAATTTAAGTTTTTAAGGACCAATCAAATTTCTTTATTTATGAAAAAGTCAAAATCTGATTGGTTGAAATGAATTATATCGTTAACATCTACAGGGTGTTAAGAAAAAAACGGCGGTTGGTAAAAATATTGTTTTTAATAAAAAGTAGCCAAAATTATATGATGAAAATTATAACAGAGAATCGGAGGATCTTAGATTATAACATATGAAATTTTT